CGGATTCCAGACGTCCCAAAACAGAAACACAGTCAACAGAGTTCAAATGAGAAGAGGGAATCAGGGACAAGTGTTGGCCAGGAAACTGAGTAGTGGCAGAGCAAGAAGCTCCGGTTGGATGGCCTTGACGCAAATGGGTAGAGTAAAAAAGAGTAGAGTAGGTAGAGTAAAACTAAAGGTCATGGTCTGACGGGCAGAGCAGAGAACTGCAGTTTTTGGCACTTCTGCACTGGCTTCATTTGTCAGTGTCGGAGGTTTCCGCTTGGGTAAAATTCTATACCTTTAACCCTCAAATATGTAGCTGTTATAATATGGTTTCAAAAGGACAAATGAAAAATGTTGGTAGCCTAAAGCGGGATTTATACTTCTGCAAATCGACATCGTACCTATGGCGTATAGGCTCTGCATCAAACCATGCTGTAGCCTGATTCTTGGGATCATGCTTTTGGTTGTTGGTGTTCGTGCATTAGTGCATTAGTGTATCCGTCTGTCTACAGCTAAGCTTGCGAATTATTGGACCAATCAGCCTAGGGAACTCTTGTGGTTGCAATGATTCCACAGTTGGTGATAAACCTGGTTGTTTGACTGTTTCATACCGTCACTGACTGCTGACTCCTCGTTCCTCTTGACTGGCTGGTCGGGGCTGCAAGTCTTCAACAAAATTAGGTCGCAAAAGCTTCACAGAAAAGGTTGGTTTTGAGAGATAAAAATAAGACGCCTTAGCGTCTGTTGCAGGACGCATTTTGGGCTTTGGTATGGCTCAAAAATGACAACCATTGAAACATGTGGTTTTATTTTGAACCAGAGCAACTGCAGATTGATTCTTTATCCGATATGGTGACCCACCGTTATCGTCACCGCCATCTTGACTGTTAGAAATCATTTTAAAAGTTTGATCAAAAAATGTCATCGACTATAATCTGGTTTTGTAGAACTGTCTAAAATTATCGTTCTAACTGATGATATGAATGACTTAATGTTATAGGAATGGAAAATCTGTCGTAGAGTTTAATTACCATGTATATTAGTGATGGCCAAATGAAGCTTCATGAACCCTTTCAACCCTTTGTTAAACAAAGAGTGCCAGAGTGGACCCAAAAAATAAAGAAAATGGTTTATGAAGCTTCATTTGGCCGTTGCCAGTTGAAACCAAACTGCATTGCCATCCCTTGAGCCTTTTTCATCACACCAAGAGCGCCATCTAGTGGGTTCAGCAAATACAACTAGTGGTTCATGAAGCTTCATTTGGCCATCACTAACGTATATAGCAACTGGAACAAATGTATGTGTTGTACCAACATTCCTGCACATGCACGTGATCATTAGGGCCTTGCACACGGCCCATCCTCTGCTGATTTTCTTCCAACCACCCCCTTAGACATAATAAATATTTCTGTGTGCTTCGGGTGATGATAAACTCAGCCAGCTCCAGCTCATGTTGTGTCGAGGTGGCTTTTCAGCAGCGTCTGTTCAGCCATTTTCTTGTTTGAGCTGATGTGTCTCAGGGCAGACAGGCCTACATGACAGATCCTTGCAGCCGTAGTCAGTAACAGCTTCAATCCTTTCTGTTCTCTCGCGCTAATCCATGCTGGAAAACTGTTTAGTTTAAAGTCTTGCTCGCAAAAATTGGCATGTACTTTGACTCTATTAGCAGAATTCCACTCATTTATTCATGCTGCCTTTTCATTTATATTTGATATCAGAGAGGCGTCTGTGCTGGTCAGCATTAATGTTTAATAATTGATTTGGCCTGGCTTTGAGTGGCACATAGTATGATTTGGGTGAGAGGGTAATTAATCAACATTTTTGGACTGAAGCAGTCAGGTGTGAGACTCTTCAACCAAACCACTTCAGATATAAAAATAAATATATATTTAAAAAATGTCTCAAGACCTGGGGGCAGTGGAATGAGGCAAGAGCTCAATCAGGAAATTGAATCTAGTTGCGACCATGAGGCCATAAGACACTTCCAAGACCGCAGAGTAGATTTCTAATGCAGGGGACTTTCCAAATTCCCTCGCAGAAGAGCCTGACAATTAACTAGTCTTCGAATTATTTCAGCTGGTCTCACAACACTCCACTGGTTTTTGAATAAAAAATTGTAAACTCACAAAAATTAATTCATTGTCTACTCTTGAGTGGAGATTGAATATTTAAATTATACCCACAATCAGTCACTCAAGTTCTGAATAAAAAGAAACTGCCCTTCATTTATTTCATTATTTTAGTTTATTAGCACATACACATGTTTAAAACGAAGACAGTGTAGATGTCGATTGTCGTGATAGAAGAAGGTTGTTCCTAAGAGATGGTGCCTCTGAATTTCAATTGATTAAAGGAAATCTGGCAATACGGAAATAAGAGTCCTTAAAGCCTCCTACAGACTGTGAGATTTTAGCAATCTTAGAAGTTTAGTGCAGCTACACTGTGCGACATGGATCTAATAAACCTGGGTACGACATCAACTTTGATGTATGTAGACTGTACGATGACAGCGGCTACTGAATCACAGGCTACAACGCATGATATCTTCCCATACTGAGTGCACAAGGATGCTGCATGGGTAATTGCTTGCCCAACTGTGAAGCACAACATATACTGCAATGTGTCTAGGTTGCTCACCTGGCAGCTGCAACTCTGCCTCTATTTCCTTCAATGCTTCGTCCGTCTTTACGCGATCATGATAAGAATTGAAGGACACATCGTACAAGTCAAGGCTTCTGCTGCCACAACTCCACAAGGTTTTATCCCAGGCTGTCTTTGATTGCAAGACTGTGACAACGGCCATCCTTGAAACTCTCTAACTGTGTGACGTAGGACCACCGTTTTAGAGCCACAACCAGAGATATCGCCACGTTTCTTTTACATCTTTCATCTGGGAAAGCCCAAAATTGCACAGTACACGTGATTTCAGCACCTGACATCGACCCCAAAAGCCGCCTTTTGCAATAGGACGATACGCCACAGGGCAGCGTCAGTTTGTACATTGGCCTGAAGGCACCTGTCGCGGCGGTATGATACGCGGACAGGCAGTATCAGTTCATGGCGGCAGCCAGATGGAACCTGTCAGAGTGGCGTGATGTTAGTGCAGCCACTTTGATTTTGGATATAGCACATGTCACATGTCTGATGGTATATTTTGTCTGATGGATGTTAAATGTTATATTTTTTTCATTTGTAATGGATTTTGTGATGAGAAACAAGTGTCTTGGATGCAAGACAAATTTCAGAATGAATTCTGATAATAAATCAATCAATGCTGCTGGATGACGTCTGTTTGACACGCTGTTGGTAACAATGTAATATAAGAAGCTGGAAAGTCCCTGTAGGGCAGATGGGAGGGGTAGTGGATGTATCCAAGAAACCCCGGACTTTCACCGGACTTTCAACCCGCTTCCAATGTAGACCCAAACCATGATTTATTTTTCAAACATAACCCCATGTTTTTGTAGCCTAAACTTAACCATGTGCTTTTGATTACGTTCCCACATTGGTTGTGGCATCCCAAAATGTCAACAGCAGGCGCAGGAGGATACATAGCGTGTGATATGTAGATGTGAAAAACTAAGGAAGACTTTAAAAAATTCCTGGAAAATGTTAGGCAAGTAATGAGTTTGGTGTACATATTCGTACATGAATACACAAGTCTGGTATACGCTCACACTGAAAGCTGATAGAAGCTGATATTTTCTAAAGAGAAGAGCAGATGAGTCACATCTTTTAGCAAAGCTTATCACTCTCACAAATGTCTTTTTAATTAGAGAAAATTCTTTTTGAGAAACATGTAGCAGCCCAAGCAGTGTTGCAATTCGTTTTATCAGGATATATTAAGCTGGAATAAAAAGATAAAATACAGGAATGATTAAATCATTGAAAGTACTCTGTTGATACCAGTTGACTTCAAAGTCTTAGACAGTTCAATATGGTGTTTCCATGTTAATTGTGTGTCTACTGTGACTTATCAGAATTTAAATGTCTGCTGGCAGCTCTGCTAAAGAAGTCACTACAGTCATCCTCTGAGGACCTTGAAAGTAATGATGGCCAAATGAAGCCTCGAGAATCATTTTCTTGATTTTATGAGCCTTCTAGATGGTGCTCTCCATTACAGATTTCAGAGCAAACTGAATTGCCAATCGTTTAACTTTTTTCTTTGAACCAAGAGCGCCATCTACTTGGCTCAGAAGATAAAGACGAATGGTTCATGAGGCTTCATTTGGTCATCACTTAAAGGTACTTCATTCATGCAATAGCTGACGTTTTACAGAAAACCCCAAACCTTGTGGTAGTAGTGCTAGATGAAAAGTCAGGGGATCACCAAAGTTAACAGGATTTATCCTTTGGGGACCATGAAAAAATGAGACAAGAGAAAAGATATTTCACCTTGAATTCAAGTGGTGGACTGAGAATGACCAACATTATGATTCTTGGAACCACTGTTAGCCAAACCAAAGTATTTTTGGTTTGACTGATCCCTTAGTCTGATTCTAATCACTGCTGATGTGAGAAGTAGTCATGGCTGGCTTACTGACCCAGCCTACTGGGCACAGGCCCAGGGGCCCAAAGTGTCAGGGGGCCCCTCTTTCCTTCCCGTGGTCAAAATTACCACAAAGAGACACATAATAATTATAAAAATTGGCAAAACAACCAAAAAGAGACACAAAATGACTATAAAGTGACACAAAATGATAAAAAAAGACACAAATCTACCTCAAGAGACACAAAATTACCTCAGAGAGACCCAAACTATGACAAAAAGACACTAAACAACCACAAGGAGACACAAAATAATGACAAAGAAATGCAAAAAAATGGATGTAGAATGGCTACAAAGAGACATAAAAGCAACATAATGTCCTTGTCTCTTGCCCAGGGACCCACTGTCTCATGATCCTGTCCATGGAAGTACTGTCTGTGACATTTTCTGCGACTGTATAAAGACAAGAATTAACATAATTAGTGATGATGCTATTGCTGATCAACTGTTTTTCTTTTTCTTTTAGGATATCCCATCAAGCTGGAGCCCAGGTAGAGCATCCCAGGCTCTCTCCTGTTCTGGACAGGGGAGTCGTACAGCAGCCATCAATCTCCATGCAGACTCTCGGGATGGGGAGCTCTGAGAAAGCTGCTTTATTTGGCTGGGGCTCCTTTGCTCATCTTGCAGTCTGAGGAGCAGCAGGAAGTATCTCGGTGGAGGGGCAGGGGGGGGCACCGAGGACCCAAGGGCGGATCATAACCAAGACCTGCCAGGCTCAGGCCCAGCACAGCAGGAGCATGTCAGCGCCGGGAGGCCCTTCATTGATGTGTCGCTCCGCAGCCAAGGCCAACCTTTTTCTGTGGATGGGCCTGGCGTCCATCTGTGTGGCTGCTGTTCAGACCCAGCAGCACCCTGTGGTCACCACAAATTACGGAAAATTGCGGGGAGTGAAGGTTACGTTACCCAATGAGATCCTGGGACCAGTGGAACAATACTTGGGGATCCCGTACGCGCTAGCCCCAACGGGGGAGCGGAGGTTCCAGCCACCAGAGCCACCCATGTCCTGGCCGGGCATCAGGAATGCTACTCAGTTTGCTCCGGTTTGTCCTCAGTTCTTAGAGGACCGCTTTTTGCTCAATGATATGCTCCCTGTCTGGTTCACCGCCAACTTGGATACAGTGGTAACCTATGTGCAGGAGCAGAGCGAGGACTGCCTTTACCTGAACATCTATGTCCCCACAGAGGACGGTAGGTCTACTGACTGTGTCTCTTGATTTCCTTGTGTCTTTTACCGCTTCCTGTATGTCTTTGTGTTGTTTCCTGTTGTATTTCACACTTTCTCGAGCAGGTCTACACTAAACTTAAAGTTAGTTAGTACTTCACTGAAAATCTAAATGATTTTCTACTCACAAGAAGTAGTATACTACTTGTTACTTCGAGAAAAAGGACTAATTATACCCCATGTTGCTGTATATCATGTGTAGACCACACCATGTAAATTCCATGTAAATCAGATGATCCTTGTCACCTAAGGCTGACTTCCTGTTGTCGGTTGATGGCGCTATGACCTTGGGTCAATATTGGCATGTAGACGTCTTCAGGCCTGGACTTTTGTCTTGAGGTGGATCTAGTCAACTTACAAGGAGTACATCAAAGTATAAAACATGGATTTTTCTGTTTCAAGTAGGAGGTGCTATAACGAAAACTAAATATTGGCAAGCTAGGACTCTTGAAATGTGAGGCAGATTGGACCTTGTACACTTAAGTTTCAATCTACTTCCTGTTTCGTGGCAAAACAAGGAAATGTTATGCCCCACCATGGCAATGGTGTTGACGAAAACCCAAGCTTTTAACAGTTTTTATCTCGAACGTTTGTAGATGGCACAGAGGAAGTTTCAATCAGTCAATCAGGCAATATCTCCAGGAGGAGTTTGTTAAAGTATGACCCCTGTAAATGGCGGAAAATGCCCGAAATTGCACAGTAATCTCAAAATGTAGGACTTCCCATACTGGCTATAAGAGACCTTTTTTAAAGTTTGGACATGATACATGTTGTTGGTGTATATCATATTTGAAGGTGGTGCACTGACTTCAAAAACTGTTAGGGGGCGCTACTGAGCAAATTTTCCACACCCAACATGAGATCCATATCAGATATTAATTTTTGCCTCCTCTGGTGCATGTGCCAAGTTTCATGAGTTCTCAAGCATCCCCAGCCCCTTAAAACTGCGCTTATATTCAGTTTCAATATGGTCCCCACACTGGTTGGTTTTTCGGGCCCTAAAAAGATAAAGCATATACATTTAAAGTGGAAAAGTTACAAACAAAGCCCTGTCTTCGGTGTAGACCTGTTGAAATAAAGAGCTGGGTCTTTCTGCAGCTGAGGTCAGTGACGGCAACTATTTGAGAATTCATGATATTTCTTAGCAGTATAGTGTTTCAGAATAGGAACACTGGTTTGTTTCTGGGGCCCCCGGCAAAATATAATGAAGCTGCAATGTGTAGTCTGCTGTGTGCTCCGTAGCAGATGGGCACTTACAGGCAACAGCATACATACATAATGCAAAAGAGTGTGACAGCAACCAAGGGGATTGACAGTTTTGCCCCACGGATCCAAAGGTTCTACATCCTCAAAACAGTGATTGCGTTTATATATTTGGAAATTATCCGCCTATGACCCTGCCGCCTCATATGATGACCTTACATTTTAGAATTGTTGCACCTTATACTTCATTCTGCTTAACTTAGACCTGTTGTCCTCATTTGTGGACACTTTTATGTGCCATCTAGTGGTAGTAAAACCACATTACACTATTGTAATGTAAAAATTCTACAGCCGATCCTGACACCAAAGTGGACAAGGTGCAAAACCTGATCCAGTGTTATTCATGGTTTATGTTTATAGTTGATATGGCGCACGAATTTCACCATTCTCCCAAGTTAAATACTTTCACTCCTCTGTTGAAATCCAGTTGAAATTTAATTGTGTTCTCTATACATATCGGCCTGTGTCGTCCGCTGAGAATCTGAAGCCGAATGGGAGTTATGTATTTTATATTTTTGGGTTAATTGCAGTGACTCCTGTCTGTACAATAACTTTTCAGTTTTCCATCGGCATATGTGGAGAACTTGTTTCCCGAGATTAGCCTGCCAGCTGTCAATCACACACTTAGACTAACACACCCATCTCGAGGCTGAGAGAAAAGGGACCGTTTCTGACATTTCCCCAAACAGCTGTCATTCTTCCTTTTAATAATGACAGGAAAACAAACCAAAAAAAAAAAAATACTTTGACGTGATTGAACTCCTTTGATTTGCTATTTTTAATTGGATGAAGTAGCTTTCCTCTCAAATGGAAATGCTTGTAAAATGTTGGGCTATGCCTGCTTTTTTATGATGCATTATTCCTTTCTTTTATATGGAGAGCTGTGTCATAACCTCTTGTGATTAACAAAATGGGGAAATTAAACTTGTTCCCTTGTACACTAATTACCTGAATCCTTCAAATATCACTTGATTTTGACTGCAGTCTAATCAGTGAAGGCTTGTCTGAAAGAGAGGAAATGCAGAGCCTTGTCAAAGTACTGGGAGCTCTGTCAGTCCATGCTGCTCTGTACTATGACTGATAAGAGCGCTGTTAAGCAAGAGTGATGTGATTTAAATAAAAAGAAGCACAGAATGGTTCTGTATTGCTATCACGCTGAAGGCTCCTCCATAATGGCTTGTTTTCTGCACTCCCCTGTCTGAGTGAGCAATTGACTTGGAGTAGGTGTGGGGAGCACTTTACCCACCCAGATCCTGTAGCAGCCGCCACGTACAAGCCTCTAAATGTGTCCTGTAAAAAGCACAGTGTGTCGAACATAACCTGGAGTGGTTAGAGGTCAGGGGGAGCAGGCTGCCCGGGCTGTTTTAGGAAGCAGCAGGGCGGCGTGGACGGCCTCTGGAAGGATAGTGGAGCACATTAACGTGTGTGTCTGGCTGAGATCTTTGACAGCTCCGTGCTAAATTTAGTCTGAGCTCTTGAGTACACGGTAGATTAAAAAGTGCAGGAGAGGGATAATCTCACAATCCTGTGTCAGTGCACATTTGGTGGCTTTTGTCAAATTTTTCAGTATCTCCAAACAAACAAACAAACAAAAAAAGAAGTTATTGTGCTCCAGTAGGGACTGAGCACAACAAGAGTCCTGTATGAATAATACAAATTGTCGCGGTGCCTGTTTTATGCCTCCACAGCAGCGTCAGCCGAAGCATTATGTTCTCGATTTGTCCATCCGTCTGTCTTCCCATCCCATTATCGTGAATGTGATATCTCAAAATCTCTTCAAGGGAATTTCTTCACATTTGACAAAAAGTCAACTCGGGATCACGGATGAATTGATTACATATTGGTGATCAAAGGTCAAGGTCACTGTCTTCTTCAAATTTGGCTCAAATGTCCACTTGGACTCAGCGATGAACCAATTAGATTTTGGTGGAGAAAGGGTCAAAAGACAAGGCCACTGTGACCTTGTGTCCATCTCATTCTTGTGAATTCGATACCTTAAGAACACCTTGAGAGAACTTCTTCAAATTTGGCTCAAACGTCCACATCCACTCAACAATGAACCAATTAGATTTTGGTGGTAAAAGGGTCAGAAGTCAAGGCCACTGTGACCTTGTGTCCATCTCATTCTTGCGAATACAATACCTTAAGAACACCTTGAGAGAACTTCTTCAAATTTGGCACAAATTTCCACTTGTACTTAATGATGAACCAATTAGATTTTGGTGGAGAAAGGGTCAGAAGTCAAGGCCACTGTGACCTTGTGTCCATCTCATTCTTCTGAATAAGATACCTTAAGAACACCTTGAGGGAATTTCTTCAAATTTGGCTCAAGTGTCCACTTGGACTCAACAATGAACCAGTTAGATTTCGGTGGTCAAAGGTTCAGAAGTCAAGGCCACTGTGACCTTGTGTCCATCTCATTCTTGCGAATACAATACCTTAAGAACACCTTGAGGGAATTTCTTCAAATTTGGCTCAAATGACCACTTGTACTGGGTGACCTGATTAGATATTGGTGGTCAAAGGTCACAGTGACCTTGTCTCAGTGTCGTTCTTGTGAATGTGATATCTTCAGGGAATTTCATCAAATTTGGCTCAAATGTCAAAATATCTTGTTGGATAAATTGATGAAGCAATGACATCATTTGTTCTACATCATATTTCAGATGGTCAGATACTGAATTGGTGACACTAATCTTGGGTGCCCACCTTGAAACTGTGCTGACTGTATGGATCTCCTATGCTGTCAGGTTGAAGATCCATGATTTAGAATTTGTAGCTTTGCAGCAACATCCATATAGGAAGCATTGTTACATGTCATGGCTACATATCAGTCCGAACAGACATGGATGGAAACTGTAACTGTAACTTGACTGGTTCACAGAGGCATACAACCACAAGGCGGTAATTGTAGTTCTTCTACAATGACCAGAATAGTATTAGCCAGTAATAGGGTTTTCCATGGGCATCATAACAGGGGATAGCTGCACCACACTGTGCTGTAAATTGATGCTAATACTTAATTGCGAAGAAGTTATAGGAGAAGTAATGCTTTAATCAACATGATAGAGATATGAACGGACCCTGTGTTATTTGCTCAGCACATCAGTTTCAGATATTGCATGGACGCTTTAAAAGGTCTTGTAAAGGTTTTAATTACATGGGATGTGGAGGTGTAGGGTTGTTGCAGGATTAGTTGAGACGTTTCCTCTCACAACAGTTTGTATGATATCCTACAAATGAGCCTCCAGAAATGACATTACGGAGCTTAGGTTTAGGAAAAGAAACATCGTGAGGACGAACAGTACAATGACTCAAAGTTCACGTGGTTCCAAACACTGGTGTCCCGGGGAAAGTTACTTGGCTTGTGACCCATTCAGCACCCTAACCTCTCCCCTTCTGTGACCACTACTCTCTTCACTCTTTACAACCATTGGCGCATTGGTCACGTTTCAAAATACGTAGGTTATACACGAATTAATGGCTCATGTTTACATAGTATACGTACGGATTTTGTTCGATTACTTTTTGTAGAGAAAGGTATGAACCGTGCATGAGAACAGCCTGGTTGAGAAGTGGGTCTGGTAGGTACATCGATGCCCCTCCTGCCTCTCCACACTTCCCTGTTATTCTTCTGCTGCTGTCTGCCCTCCATAAATCTACTGTAGATGTCTTTGCCTTCTTGACCTTACCCTCAAGCTCT